GAGACAGTCAGCTCAGAAGAGATACCGGCAGAATTGTCGTTGGCCATGTGAGAAAACCTAGCGACTGATAGCAGATTAGGATTGTATATTCAATCATCAGAATGTACAGGATTACATATCAAGAGTATATACAGAATACAGAGATATAAGCATACTAATACTGTAACACAATAAGAGTCCTAACAGTAACAGAATTTTATCCATCCTCGTCTAGACTTAAAACCATCATACCATCAAGATAGGTGAGTCAGGAAAATGTCACATACAATTAACTTGATTAAAGACTAATTTTTTCAGTAATAACTCAACATGAGTTAGTGTTTGACCCTAACTTTTGTTGATAGTCATGGCATATGCGAGCATCAACGTGAACTGTTTTCGTTAGAACTTGAAGGGAAATCTCGTATCAGAATGGTGAAAAACATTTCAATTTAAGATTTTACTTTTATTAATAGTATAGATATAGATTGGTGTAAATAATAATTAATAAATTATTATTTCCTTATAAAATTACATAAAATTTTAAATGTATTTTCTCATTTATTACGCAGAATTTGTTTCCGTTATTCTCACAATTATAATGATTTAATTATTCTCAGAATTTGATAACCATTTTCCATTTTTAAGTACATATTAACTTTAATTTGTGATAAAAATTCATTAGATATTAGTTAATTTTCATATAAAATTTTGTTACCAATTAAGCATTATTAATTTTTTTACCAATTAATTAATATTCATATTAATTTGGGCGGGAATGTTAAAAGATGGGGATTTTACTTTTATTAATAGTATAAATTGGTGTAAATAATAATTAATAAATTATTATTTCTTTATAAATTTATGCAGAATTTCAAATGAATTTTCTCATTTGTTACGCATAATTTGTATCCATTATTTTCACAATTATAATAATTTAATTATTCTCGGAATTTGGTAATCATTTTCCATTTTTATGTACATATTGACTTTAATTTGTGGTAACAATTCATTATATATTAGTTAATTTTCATATAAAATTTTGTTACTAATTAAGCTTTACTAATTTTTTACTAATTAATCAAATATCATATTAATTTGGACTGGAATATTGTAAAGGAAGATTTTACTTTTATTAAAGTCATTTCACTAAGGAAATTAAAACTAATTAAAGTAAATCTAATCATGCTATATTTATTTGTAACTGTATATTAATTTCATTTTGAAATTATTGGTTCACATATTTGAATTATTTATTTTTTATTTAGTTATTATCACTGTAAACATAAATGATATTGTAATAATTAAATTATGATATTTATCAAATTGTATTTTTTTAAATATAAAATTTTCTCATTTTTAGGGATTGAAAAATATTTTTAAAGTACTTTTTTATTAGTAAATATTTTTATTTTAAAAATACTTTCCAGCAAACCCAAACACTCCATTAATCTCTTATAAAAAACTAAAAATAAAAGTAATTTCATTAAGAAAATTAAAACTAATTAAAGTAAATCTAATCATACTATATTTATTTGTAACTGTATATTAATTTCATTTTGAAATCATTGTGGTTCACATCTTTGAATTATTTATTTTTTTCTTTAACTATTATAAACAAAAATTATGATATTTATCAAATTGTATTTAAAAAAAAAAACATAACATTTACACATGTTATGAGGGGTTAAAAAATATTTTAAAATTATTTTTTATTAGTATGTATTTTTATTTTAAAATATTTTCCAGCAATCCAAACACTCCCTTAGCCTCCCATAAAAAACTGATAAAGAAAAGTCATTTCATTAAGTAAATTAAAACTAATTAAAGTAAATCTAATCATGCTACTCGGGTTGGACTTTCATTTGGAAGATTGTGACTTTGAGCCTCAGTGGAGGCGTTATTGATTCTTTTTTTTTTTTTTGAAACAAACCAAACCAGATTTCATTAACAGAATAAATCGGCAATACAATCAGGTGGGCTGACATCCCACGACACAGAGCCAGACGAAGAACCAGTTGCCCGAGCCAATCTATGAGCCACATGATTCGCTGATCTCCGGACATGACGGACTGTAACGTCCCCTATGTCCTTAGCAATCGTACGACATTGCTTTACAATCGAACCTAAGTAAGACAAATCTACCATACGGGAATTGAAAGCATTACAAAAAACTAAACAATCTGACTCGATAATAACTTTATTATGGTGAAGACCGAATAACCATCTGAGAGCATTAAGCACCGCGAGCGCCTCAGCCTGGAGCGGATCGTGAGTGTGGTTAATACACCCGCTTCTTGCCGCGACGAACTCCCCAGCATGGTCACGAAGTACTGCGCCGTAGCCTGCCCCGTCCTGGAAGACAGCCGCATCTACATTGCACTTGAGAAAGGTGGTTGGCAGTGGGGTCCAAGAAGGAACCAGAATCCTGCTATCTGCATTAGTAGTGCGGGTTGCATATGTCTCCTGCCAAACTTGCTGAGTGTTAACAACCTGCTTATTTAACTCCATCATCGATGGAGCTTCTTGACGCCACACTATTGCATTGCGTGCTTTCCATAACGTCCATACAACAGCTGACAGCTTGCACGCATGTACTGCATCTTGCTGCCCTATAATGTTTTCCATCATAGTTGGGAAATTCTGGCCCTGTACCGCGACATTTGTACCCCATAGGTGCGTAGCATAGACGCATTCGCCGAAGATGTGCTCAGTTGTTTCGAAGGGGAAACCGCAGAACGGGCAACCGCCCCCGATCCAAACCCTCTTCGATTTCAAGTTTTCGCGGACAGGCAACACATTACGAGCGCACCGCCAAAGCAGATTTTTCACTTTCGGGGGCACCGGGAGCGACCATAAACGATTCCACGAGTGAAAGCCAAACTGAGATCCCGAGCCCTCTAGCTGACCCGTGAGCATATGGTAGCCCTGCTTCACCGTGTAACAGCCTCGTGCATCGCCGATCCAACGCCAAGAATCCTTGTATTCTTTGCATACGGGAGTCGCGAGAATTCTGTGTACATCCTCTACTTGGAAAAGATCGTGTAACACCCCTTCATCCCATTCACCTAGTTCATTCATCAACCCGTGAACTTTCGCCTCATTGAGCTCCTCGACGCAAGGCGTAAGCAAGCCTGTGTCGGGTGAACTAGCAAGCCAATTCCAGCCCCAAATCAGTGTGTCCATACCATCCCCGATTCTCCGTGCCAAACCTCGTCTCAAAACCACCTGTCCAGCCACAATGCCGCGCCAAAAATAACTTGGGTTCGTGCCTACGGATGCTTCCATAAAGTCACCTGTTGGAAAATATTTGGCTTTAAGCAGCCTGCTTACTAAAGATTCGGGTTGGGTTAAAATACGCCAACCCTGTTTAGCTAACAGAGCCAGATTAAAATCGCGAATGCGTTTGAAGCCCAGCCCACCCTTCGCTTTCGATTCGCACAAACGACTCCAACTGAGCCAATGTATCCCCCGACTGTTAGCACTACCACCCCCCCACCAAAATCGATTAAATAATTTCTCAATCGTGTCGCAGACACGAACTGGCAAAAGAAAGGTCGACATGGTGAATATGGGGAGGGCCTGAGCTATACTTTTCAGTAAGATTTCTTTACCTACTCTCGACAGGAGCTTGTGTTGCCATAAACCGATTCTCTCCCGAATTTTGTCCTCAATGTACCGAAAGGTGGCAATTTTGTTGCGACCCAGCACCGAGGGTAGTCCCAAGTACCTCCCTAAATCACGAGCTTCCTGGACTCCAAAGATGTCACAAACTAATTGTCGCATACCGGTCGCAGTGTTGGTGCTGAACACGACATTGGATTTTTCAAAGTTGACTAATTGCCCCGAAGCCGCACAATATCCATCCAAATAGTCCTTGATTTTAGTAGCTTCACGTTGGTTTGCCCTAAAAAATAGCAAACTGTCGTCAGCAAAGAACAGATGGGTGACCTCAGGAGCACCCCGAGCCACCCTCACCCCATGAATATCACCACTAGCTTCTGCCTGTTGTAAGAGTACAGACAACGCTTCAGCACACAAAATAAATAAGTAAGGGGATAAAGGATCGCCTTGGCGAATGCCCCGAGTGGGACAGACAGATCCCGCTGTCTCGCCATTGACAAGGATATTGTAAGTGACCGTAGAGACACAAAGCATCAATAATCTCACCCACTGACTCGAAAATCCCATAGCCCGCATGATCCCTTCCAAAAATCCCCACTCCATGCGATCATACGCCTTAGCCATGTCTAGCTTCAGCGCCACCCACCCCAAATTACCACTGACTTTTCGACGCAAATAATGCCCTACTTCCCCGGCTATTATAATGTTATCTGTCAACAGCCTCACGGGTACAAAGGCACTCTGGGATTGTGAGATAACCTGCCCCAGAAGGTCTTTGAGTCTGTTAGCCAGCATCTTGGCCAAGACTTTATACACAACATTGCAGAGTGCGATCGGTCTTAAGTCAGCTACCTTTTCAGGTACTTTCTTTTTGGGCAACAACACTATATTAGACACATTTAGATCCCTGGGAACATTGTAGTCAGCAACACACTTCAGAACGAACATGGACAGATCATGGCCTAAAATTGGCCAAAAGTGCTGATAGAATGCCGGGGACATACCATCAGGACTTGGAGCCTTCTCCGGAGCCATGGAAAAAAGGGCCTCTTTCACGTCCGCAGACGTAAATGGCCGTAAGAGAGAGATATTCATCTCATCAGTGACACAACAACGCATGCGGGGGAATAGCGTTGTGTCGCTAGAGCCCGCACAAAAAATAGCACTATAGTACCTTAGTATTTCGGAATGCATAGCGTTGTCCTCATGCCAAACCCCGTCCTGATCCATTAACCGCTGTAGATAGTTACGTTTTTTACGTGCCGACGCCGATTTGTGAAAATACTTCGTGTTGGAGTCCCCAAGCTTAAGCCATAGCTGCTTGGATCTTTGGAGCCAAAAAATCTCCTCCTGTCTCAATAAGACTTCAAGTGCTGCCCCGGTTTCTAGGAACTCCTTCACTCCTGCGGATCCCTATCCTCTTTCAGAACAGCCAGTCTGTTTCGATGGATTTTGATCCTATTGCCGAACTGGCTTGAATGCTCCCTGCCCCATCGCTGAAGCTGTTGGCCGCAAAGCTCTATTCGGTGCTGAAACTCCATACCACGAGACTGCCCCCACGCCGCCTCAACTACCATTGCACAACCTTCCTCCAACAACCACGCAGACTCGAATTTAAAAGACCTTCGTGCATGCCGTATTGGACGCTGTTCCATGTCCACGAGAATAGCACTATGGTCAGATTGTGATGTGTAAACCTTACGAACCTCTGTATCCTCGTGTAACTCCAACCACTCCACCGTAGCCACCGCCCTATCGAGCCTTTCCTCCACCCACGCCTCAGTACCATGTCCCTTCGACCATGTGAATTGACCTCCTGACATTCCCATATCAACCAAATTACATTCATTCAACGCATCATTAAAGCCATCCATGAGGGCCTCCGGATGCGAATGAGTACCCCGTTTCTCGGAAAGACACGTTATGTCGTTGAAATCCCCTACAACGACCCAAGGGAGTGATGATCGGCCCTTGAGTTGCCGTAGGGATTCCCAGGTGATATGCCTCCGAGACCTGTCGGGTTCCCCATAGAATCCGGTCAACCTCCACATCGGCTTACCTGGTTGCTTGACCTCTATGTCAATATGATTCACTGAGTAACTGAGAAATGAAGCCGCCTCAGCATCTCTCCAGAACATTGCTAAACCTCCTCCCCTGCCCACACAGTCAACCGAAACTGCCCCTTCAAACCCCAACTTCACTCTTACCTCCTCAATTTTGTCCGCTTTTGCCTTCGTCTCTGTTAAGAAAACGAAGAAGGGTCGCTCCTTGGACGATACGCCCAAGAGTTCTCGAACTGTCCGGGTGCCACCCAAACCCCGGCAGTTCCAACTGAGGATATTCATTGGCCTGGGCGAGCCTGGCACTCCAGACCCGCCGACATTGACATTTTGGTGTTCTCGGACATCATAACATCCTCTCCGGACGTAGTACCATTACTGGCCGCCCCTTCCTCCTCACGACGCCGCTTCAGTTCGCCCTGTAGCCCCACGCTTTCCACTGTTGTGACCAGAGTTAACGGAGAAGGACCCGAAGCTTCAGGAATCGGTGCCCTCTGTGTTGTGGACTGCAGGATCCATCTCGCTCCTACTTGACGCACCTGACGCCGCGGTCCCGCCCGCATCCAGCTCCCGAACGGGAAATCTTCAGGGGGAATATTCTCTTCATATGCTTTCCGGCAGAACTTATCAATGTGGCCCAGTAACCCACAGCAAAACCAAAAGGCATTCAGCCGCTCATACCGGAAGTTTATCCACTGGGATGATCCGTCCTTGCGCAACAGTTTCATCCGGCGTTTCAGAGGTGTATCTATCGGTAGCCGGACTCTTATGCAAAGGAAGCTTTTCCACGAACCCCCAAAATTAACGGGGTCAATTGCGATGAAGGAGCCTACGTAATCCCCGATCTGAGCCAGGAAATCCGATGAGGCAAAAAGAGTGGGCAAGCCGTGAATTTGATCCCAGAAATCGATAGCCTCCAATTTGGTATCCTCTGGCCTGGTCCCCGCCGGCACCCGATCGCAAACAAAGATCTGATTCTCGTATGACCAAGGGCCGTCATCGAGAACCCTCTGCAAATCCTTAGAGTGAGGGAAGTGGAACAGAAACAATTCATCCGTCAGTGCCTCCGCGTGAACACCCATAACAGGTCTCCATACGGATGCCATGACCTGGAGCATATGATCGAATTTGATCGGACGCTCTGTAAGGAAACGCCCAACCAAGCAATGAAAATCCGACGACGCCCCGGACGGTGTAGGATCAGGAGCCAAGAGCCCGGATATCTCCTCCTCGGCGATTGAGAGGACAGCACAGCGTGCTTCAATTTGCTGAATATCCATGATTGGACAAGGGAGTAGAATCAGAAAACAAAATAACACTGAGAAAATCATCTTCGACATCGAAATAAATAAAGCCCCTAGACGACTAGGGAGATACTCTCCTAATCACGATAGGAGAGAGGTCCACGTACGGCGGTTCCGATCAAGGCCACGATCGGCGATCACGATCTAGAACTGCGAAGGATGCGGAGCATTTTTTTATATGCATTTCAACACTATTTTGTAAGAGTTAACATGCCATATATCTTTGTTGAGAGAGTAAAATTCTATTATCACATTTAACAGTTTCAATACCAAGGAAATAACCAGGTTCACCAAGATCTCTAATTTTGAAGGTACTAGATAGTTTAGATAGTAAACAATTCACAAGGTTCTGATCGCGTTATTGATTCTTTGTGTTTCAGTAGGTTGAGAAAGTATATGAACAGATACTACATTGTAATAGAGCCAGTAGCATTCAAAAAAAAAGTAAATCTAATCATGCTATATTTATTTGTAGCTGTATATTAATTTCATTTTGAAATCATTGGTTCACATATTTGAATTTTTTAAAATTATTATAATTTATAAACAGAAATGATATTGTACTAATTAATTTATGATATTTATAAAATTGTATTTTTAAAAAAAATATAAGATTTACACATGTTATGAGGGGTTAAAAATATTTTTTATTAGTAAGTATTTTTTTTTTATAAATAATTTCCAACTACTCAAACACTCCCTTGGTCTCCCATAAAAAATTGATAAAGAAAAATCATATGATTAAAGGAATTAAATCTAATTAAAGTAGCCAAGACCTTGTGGTCTAATGGCACTCGAATTGGATTCCCATATGGGAGCTTGTGAGTTTGAGCCTTAGTGGAGGCGTTATTGGCTCTTGTTAATAGCATTCAAAAAAAAAAAGTAAATGTAATCATGCTATATATATTAATTTCATTTTGAAATCAATTGTTCACATATTTGAATTATTTATTTTTTTTCTTTAATTATTATAAACATAAATGATATTGTAGTAATTAATTTATGATATTTATCAAATTATATTTTTTAAAAGAGTTAATTCCAGCAATGGTCCCCTGAGTATGATGATTTTCTAGATTTAGTCCTAGACTTCTAATTTGGACAATTTAACCATCCGTCTATTAAATTTTTTCCAATTGAGGTCCTTCCGTCAATTGTTGGTTAAGTCAGCGTCAATTTCAGGGGCAAATTGGTACTTTTACTTACTAAGTGTATTGACGGAAGGTACTTTTACTTAGTTTCCTCAGGATGCGACCTCCTGCTCCTCCATCGCCGCCGCAACTGTCCATCTCCGCTGCAAAACCACCTCAGCCGAGTATGTAGCATCGAGAGCCAGAGACATAACCTTCGAGAAACTCATGGAGAAGTACAAAAACCTCTTCAGAGTCATCGCCATCCAAAACCTCATCCTTGCTAGACGCTCCAATCTGCCTTCCGTCTCCATGGATTTCCTCAATCGCCTCTCTCAGAGGCTCCACCTCAACCGCAGCGCCACCGCCTTCCTCCGCAGGTATCCTCACATCTTCCACATATTATACCACACCGCCAAGTCTCAACCGTACTGTGCGCTCACTGAAACCGCACTGGAAATCGCCCGATTAGAGGCACAAGCTATCAATGCCTCACTTCCCCTTGTGGTGGAGCGACTGGTCCGAGTTTTATCAATGTCACTCAGTAAAACGGTGCCGCTTCGAGCTATTTTCAAGGTCTGGAAAGAGCTAGGGCTACCGGATGATTTCGAGAGCTCTATAATAGCAAAGAATTCTCATCTTTTTGCACTTGATGATGGGAATGAACCTAACGCTCACGTATTGAAACTTGTAACTGAAGTGCCAAAGGATAGCCTTTTTGCTGCTGTTGAAAATTGGAGGATCAAGGAGTGTTGTGGAGAGGATTGCAGTGTTGATAGGACTGAAATTTTCTATAATTTTAAGCATGCATTCCGACAATACGCTTAAATGGAAATGGATCCAGCAATTGAGCTCTCTCTACCGCCCAACGATCTTCCGGGAGAATAACATTCCTCTTCATCGTCTTTGTCCCTACCAAACTCGGGCTCGGCATTCTCATAATTTTGTCTCAAGTTCCGCCCACGAAGCGGCAGCAGGGGTTGCAGCTCCGTCGACTCCATTTTTCTCGAATTTGCGGCACTAGTGGTGGTGGCGGTGGTGCTGGGAGAGTTTTGCAGATTGTGCGGTTCAATGCCTCCACGGGAATTCACCATAGTTCCCAAGTACAGAAACTCGGAGCTGGTTGAGATGGCCTCCGAAGCTTCAAGCTAGCTGGAATACAGCCACCGCCGCCCGCATTATTGCCGTAATTGAATAGAGTACTGCCATCGGATCTCTCGGTCTTGGCTTCACTAGAAGAAGAACGACTCCTCACCCTCCGAATATGCAAGGCAACTTCAATGGAGCGACAATCACGGCAGCGACGGCGGTGGCGACGAGTTTCGAAGAGGCCGACTTCGGTTTCGTGGTCTGCGGGACACTAAGGGAAGAAGATTTATACGGTGGGTAAGGAAAAGACAATTTTATCCCTCTAATTGACACCCACTTAACCAGCACTTGACGGAAGGACCTCAATTGGAAAAAATTTAATAGTCGGATGGTTAATTGTCCAAATTAAAAGATGGAGACTAAATGTGGAAAATCAACATACTCGGGGGACCATTGCTGGAATTAACTCTTTTTTAAAATATAGTGTTTTACCCGTAAGTTGCACGAAATTTTTTATTTATTTTTTTGTTATTATGAATTTAAAATCTATATAGAAAAAATAAAAAGATGTTAAAATATACTCCGTACAATATAATAATATAGTTGAACTTTTATATATTTGATTAAGTATCTATTTTCATAACATACAAAATTTAAATTTAAATTTTGCATGATTAATATTATCTCTAATCATGTACATATTTAGATAAATTTATAGAAAAAATTCATATAATTAAGTTGATTTATTCCAAATTGTATTTCATATATATTATAATTCTAAAAATATGAATAAAAATAACTAAGAGAGTAGTACTTAGAAATCAATAAAAAATGTAAATTCTAAATTTTGTATGAATAAATATAAACTCTAATCACACGCATATCCTTATATGATTGTATAATACATTTTATATACACGTAATATTTATTAATATGTATATCGGAAAATTCTATAATATAATTTCATTAATTATAATATATATTTGATAGATTTATACTTAAAAAAATTATATTTAGAAATTTAAAAAGTGTATGTATGTATGTATGTATGTATGTATGTATGTATATTTAAAAAAGTTTATAAATATTCATATTTTGTTAATTTTATAATTTCATTTCTTTAATTATATTTCATATTTTATTAATTATAATTTAATGAAATTGTCAAAAATATTTCAACGGAAGAAATCTTATATTTCTCAATTTCATTAATTATATTAATTATAATTACCAAATATTGTGGCAATTACCATAATAATTTCATTAATTATATTAATTATAACATTTGTTCTCTTCCAATATTTAAATACATTACCATAAAATTACCATAATAATTACACAAAAGAAGAAAAGAAAAATTATGAGAATAATTACCTTTAATAAAAATTAAAAAATTATATTAAAAATAATCTATATATTAAGGTAAGTATAATTTATTTTGTGCCAATAATATTATACATTAAGTATATATATATATATATATATATATATATATATATATATATATATATAATAAATTATTAATTACATTACCCAATATAATTGTCCTACTAATTGATTCATTGTTACTATGTATAATTCATATATTTGAAATTTTTTTTAAAGCTAACTACTTATTAATTACCTTAATAATTAAGATAATTTTTAGTCAATCAATATTCAATAGTACTAAAAGTATTATTTCGAATTTTTATAAATAAGATATAATATTATTAAACCGATATAATTAAAAATAATGTGTACATATTACCAAAGATTTTAGAATAGTAATTTTTATTACCTAATAAAATTTGTCAATTATTAACCATTGTTTATGGTAATTATTGTATGACATTTAGTACTAAAATTATTAGGTAGAATTTTTATAATTAAGGTATAATATTATTAAATCAAATTTATTAAAAATAATGTGTCCACAATATAAATTAAATTATACTTGTCTTAATAATTATTTATTAATATAAATATACAATTATAAATTTGTATAAGAAAAATATAAAAACTTTTGGTTAAAAAAAAAAATCTCTCCATTTCCTTTTTCTCTTTCCTCAGCATCGCATTCACACTCTCTCTAGAAAAAGGCAAAAGTAGGATGAGGAAAGGCATTCATCTACAACATCCTCACCCCTCAATTCGATTTAGCTTTTGTTTGGTTGCTTTTTTACCCAGCGAACCACGTAAACTATTAACGCTGCTTGTTGAAAACACATAGAAACTTGAATGGCATATACAAATCTCGAAGTCAACATACTAACTCTAAGTTTCAAAAAATTTTACAAAATTATCAAAATTACCGTCGTTATCATTCTCGATTGCATCTCTACAATCTTCCATAAAAACTAAATTATTACGGTTCTGTTACCAAGGCTCTTCCTCCTCAGTTTATTTTTGTTGAAGAATAAACTGCAATATATATTGATGTACGGGGGAATATAGTTATAAAAAATGTAGAAAATTCATACTAAAAGAAAGCAGAGAGATGAGTCTGAGATTCTTTGATTGATGAGACAACGGAACGGTAAGGCGGTTCTAGTTCGACAACCTACTGATGTGTAAACGGAAATGATAGAGAAGATACGGGGGGGAGAAGCCCTACTGATGTGGAGAAAGAAATAATGGGGGAGGCTAGGGATTAAAAGAATTATAAATTTGTATTTATAGATAGAAAATACTAATTCAAAAGGAAAGTATAATAAGTTATTTATTTAAGGTAATAACATTATTATTATTATTATTATTATTATTATTATTATTATTATTATTATTATTATTATTATTATTATTATTATTATTATTAGATTACATAAATGCCCCAAAATTTTGGGGGTAAAACTTGGCTAGGAGGATTTTAGTTATATATATATATATATATATATATATATATATATATATATATATATATATATATATATATTAAATATTATTAATTGTAATAATAATATCTATATATAAATAATGGATGATATTATAGAAATGCCCCTAAATTTAGCTATGAGGATTTAATTTTACTTTTAATTATATATAGATATAGATGGGAATAACTTTGAAAGGGGAACAAATGAAAATGTGGACTTCGTTACAAGCCAGAAAATTGACAGTGAGAGTAGCTCTGAAGAAGAAAAGGACACTGTTGTTGAATAATCCTGAATCTAACAATATCGTTGATTGATGTACGGTTAGTGGTGAAGGCAAAAGTGTAACTGAACTTGGTTCAGGCCAAGATCAAGGTATTGTACATCAAAATGGAGATGCCTCTCTGCTCGACACTTCATTTGCACTTGGACGATATCCTCGGTACTACCCCCTAGAATGTGTGTGCGGATACGTTGGTTCACGTGTGCACAGATGTTTGTTGTTACGTTTTTTCTTGAATTTCGATTCCTTTTTGGGGGCTTTCGCCTTACACACGGAAGATTGGATTGCCTGGTAATTTCTTGGTCCTCCGCCGTTGCGCTTTTGTTGCAGGTGCGGGGGCGGCTTTCTTGTGGACCAAGGGTTTTTCGGAGGTTCAATAAACTTGTTCTATCCAAAAGGTCAATGTAATTGACTACTCGAAAGACAAAGAAAAGACGAAGTCACAAGAAAAACTCTATCTATAACTAGAAGTCAAAGTCAGGTAGGCCTTAGCGTGGTTTAGCTACTTGCACGTTATCCTCTTTACTACCCCCTAGAATGTGTGTGCATATGTCAGTTAACGCGTGCTCAAATGTCTGTTGTTACGTTTTTCCTGAATTTCGAACACGTTTATGTCTTGTGTGCGTTGTGTTTGAGTTTATTTTGTCCCACCAAAATGTGCGCGCAGGCTTATTTACTCTGTGTGCATGGTATGTACCCTTTTATACACAATGTCTTATTAATAACAAGTATGCTTCATATAACTACTGTCGGCTTGTGCTATTTACTAAGTTTTTCCTTATATCCAATGCTTATTAATTTAGCTACTTGCACGGTATCCTCCTTACTACCCCCTAGAATGTGTGTGCGAATACGTGGGTTCACGTGTGCACAGATGTTTGTTGTTACGTGTTTTCTTGGATTTCGATTCATTTAGCTACTTGCATGTTATCCTCTTTACTACCCCCTAGAATGTGTGTGCGCATATGTCGGTTAACATGTACTCAGATGTTTGCTGTTACATTTTTCTCGAATTTCGAACATGTTTGTTGTGCGTTGGGTTTGAGTTGTTTTTTGTCCCACCAAAATGTGTGCGTAGACTTATTTCTTTGTGTGCATGGTATGTACCCTTTTGTTTTTTAATACACAATGTCTCATTAATAACAAGTATGCTTCATATAAATAATGCAGTACGGTTCATAATTGTAATTTGCATTGCATTGTTCAGTATTTTTGAAATAAAGAGTATTCTAAACTTCGTCTGGTGCTAGTTTATCTGGACATGTGCGATTGTTTTGTCCTGGGAGGTCGCATATATTGCACGTCCTTTCTTTTTTTCTTTTGATTCTTTGTGATTGCTTTCTCTTTGTTTCTTTTGAGTCTTTTCCCACTTCCTTTGTTTTTTGCGACTTTCGGGGGTTTTATTTGTATATCTCCTGGTCTGCTTGATCCTAGTAGTGTTTCGGACATAGATTCATTGTTGCCACTCTCTTGTGCTTGTTGCCTCTCCCTTTGTAGCACTTTTTCAGTTGTTGCAATATTGCCAACATGTGGTCCATTTTGATAGGCCACCCACTCACTAATCCCATGCAGTTGTAGAATTCACTTCAAAGTTGATTGGCTAC